GCGACTCTTTACTGGTCGCTGGTAGTCCAAACGGCGGTGTAGTAAAAAGCGCTCGTCGTTTCTCCTCTTGTGGTGGCGATGGGAACCGGTCCGGCACAATAGTGGCGTGTGGACCAGGGAAGCGTGGCGGTGGGGCTGTCGTTTTCTTCGGCCTTTGCGGCATTGGGCGTGTCATCTCTGTGAGGGCAGAGGCAGGTGGTGTAGCAGCAGAGGCAGGTGGTGTAGCAGCAGAGGCAGGTGCAGTAGCGGGTGCGGCATTCGGCTGAGCTAACGCAGGCCTGGATAGGTTACCGGTCGACGGACCGGGTGTTGGAGGTGAAGACGGTCGTGAGAACGAGGAGAGGGTAAAAAATTCCTCCCCTGCTCCCGGTGTCGGAGTTAAAGCAGCACTCGGCGGTGTACTCGACCGAGCACTTGGCCCAGGGAGCGGTGACCGTGAGGGCTGCGTGGGGAGGCGAGTCAGGGAGGCCTGGTCTGCGGCCACCACACGGTTCAGCGCGGATAGCGCTGCGCCTCGGGAGCGGACGTAGACTCGCTTCGCAATCCCGGAGTTAGATTGCGGTGGGCGAGGTGCCCGACGAGCGGGCGGGTAGTGGCTGTGGCATGGAGGTGGCATGCCAGATTTTGTCTTCGTTTATTGTTTTATAAACACTACATTGCTCCACGACCAGCACTCTTCGGCACAAGGTACCCACTGAGCCGGCCCACCGGGGCTTGCCGCTGGTGGCAGACCGGGGGCCGAGGACGGCAGTGTACCCTGCGGTATCCGAAGGGACTGATGTGTGCGCGGTGTAAACAAATAAATAGCTAGCGCGCCAACCGTGGTCGTTCGGCGTTCAATACGCCGGGTTGTTGTTATCACCCCGCTCGGAACACGGAGCGGATGACGCCTGTACCGGGCGAAGTGACGTAACGAGCACGAACGGTGAGAGATCGGCGAAACGTGCGTCCTTCACAACAGCGCGTAGCGGACTCCGTGATGTTGGCTTTTTGCTCTTTATTTTCGTGTCATCTTGTCAGACATTCAGCGCCATCTATCGAATAGATAGGAAATCATTTCGCAAGGAGATTTTACCAATGTATAAATTGTCTTAATTGTTTTTAATATGTAGGTAATAGCCGCTTTCATAGATGGTGTTGTAATTAAAATCGTGTCAAATCAGTTTTACTCGATCGTCACAACTTCGTTCCTATCGGGTGTCCCACGACACCACACGGCTTTTTTTTATTTACATGTTGTAAATATTTTTATACATGGTAAAAAATAAGTTTAATATCGTTATTTTACTAACCACGTGTAATTAATATATACTACTTATATAAGTATTTCATGTAGATTATATTATTAAATTATACTACTTTATCGATATACCTAAGTACTTTATTTATAATAATGTAAAATATACAGTTTTCTCCTGTTCAAAAGAAACCTTACTTTGTGTGACGTAGTTAAATTGCTATATAATTTAATGACAGCATGTTTGTGGATAGGATACAACTGGGTCTTAGTATTTCTAATAAGAATGTAAATCATATTTGTCTAACCTAATCACATTATGCTTAACTAGAATGCAATAATTAACGGTGCGATAATACGTAACTTATGGCATTCTCATTTAAAAAGTCAATTGTACTTACTTTGAAACTAATCTACACTATGATGATGTAAATGTGAATGGTAAAGCATTTTTATTGGGATCAGATAAACGCGTGATCAAATCGTCAGACACAATAATATTTCAAGCATGTATATATCTATGATTTGTCTGATCAGGTCATAACGGCCGTAGTTACCTACAGAAAAACTGAAATCGAATTAATTGGAGTAACTGGAATAGAAGGATCTTCATCCATCCGCTTAGTTTCGATTAAATTATTAGATTACTAAGTAGACACTGCTTTTACTCTAATTTAGATTTTAGGATCATTTTTTTATTAATAAAATTCTGTCATAATAGATTGCTAACGCTCTGGGTCTCTTTGGTATTGTGATCTTCATAGCCAAGCTGGCCGCCTAACATCATTTGTCCTGTATGATTGTTTACTATAGCACTTATAAAGTAAAAAATATATTATAATTCAATTAAAACACTCCAAAATCTTGAATTAAAAATTTAATTATGAATTTAATTGATATTCAAAAGTAATTATCAAATATTTTATACTATTGTGTTGGTTTTTTGTCCGCATTTGGATACGAATGCGTGTGAGTATATTCGAAACAATAGGACAAAGAATGCTTTGTACTGTATGGAGTAACATGTGCATAGTAATAAGTGTGTGTATGCATGTGCAATACAGTAAACCATGCATTGGGTGTGAGTTAAAAGTTCTTGTAATCTTTTAATCTGTAATGGTCTGTGAACGGTGAGGACTAAATACTATTTATGGCTTTATTATGTTGGTGTTTTAACAGTGGGTAAACGAAATCTATAAGTCTTTTGTAACACTTTTGTAGTAAACAGTCATATGGTTCCCATAAAACATAACATAAGTTACTAAATCTTTTTTTTATTTTTACATAATATCCAGCATTCATATCCAGGTAGTCTAGATGATCAAGCTTTTTCGAACGTTTCTCATAAACTGTTGAGGTAAATCTTTGGCTATTTAATACGAAGTAGGAAGTAATGTGTGGGTAGTAACACCTGTTTTTAATAAAACCTATAAAGTTTTTTTCGAAATCGTAGTGCAATAGAATTCTACCATGTCACTAAACAGTGATTAACTTGTACACTACACCGAGTGATTATATTCTCACTAATCTACTACAATTGTTCGCAATTTTTTACTATACACAATACTATTGCACTTGACCCCATTGTACTCCACGGTTCACAAATAACTATGTCAAAATTAAGAGCTATCATAAGCTCATAACAAGGCCAGAGAAGCGGACGAGTTACTCCACTTTTGTTAACCTTAATTATCTTACGTAAAGCTCTGCACGTAATATGCGACGACTACGAAAACTTGCGACTTGGAACAAAATTCTAAAACTTTGTGTCTTTATTTATGTTCAATGTCAGTAGTCAATTATTTACTAGTACTTTGTGTATATTAAACCTATTGCATTAAGTTATCTGCATCTCTGATTAGAATAGAGCATTATACAATTGTTTTATAAATGTGAAGAACTGGAAAAATCAAGGGAAAACCTCCTGTTTCGCGTTAAATGACAGTGGTGCTAATTCTTTCAAACAACGTTTCGTATTCTAAAAACGTAGTACTTGACAGGACTTAACTAATTTTTAGTGATTTTTAGTTTAGGTTAGAGAGTTTTTGAACAACAGAATTAGCACCAATGCCTAAACATTACAGCGCGACTTGAAAAATATAAATATATAATAAGCACGTGAATAGTTCCAGTAACTTATATCCTTTTCACTAACTTAACAAACCAACTGCATAGCTATACCTTACAAGTAGGGAAGCAAAAAAATTTGAAACGACCCGAATGATGGCAAATGTGTAACATTACACACAAACATTGTATGTTCTGAGAACATTACGAATAAACACTTGAAACATCGATGATGTTGCCTTCCAATGAATAGTTATTGCGATCCTATTCACATACAGAAATCTTCTATGCATTATCTTCATTATATGTAAATGTCAAAATTAACTCTAAAAATGCTTTCACATTTAAAAAAAAAGGTTCACATTGTCTATGTCCTTTTGACTTTTACTTCTTTTTTTATATTTAAGCGATTGTTTAACGTGAGTGATTTTATATGCAAATTTAAAGATAAACAAATTATTTAAATTATGTCGTATTATTTCTCTGAGTTTTTCTTTAAAAGTTTTATTGTTCTAATTGAGTTGGCATTCGAATGTAAAATTTTGTTGTAATTATATACTATAGTGGTGGGTTAGGTAATAAAGCCCTTGAATTGATGTTAAAAAGGCAATTTATTTTGGGATGTGTAATAAGAAAATGTTGATATGTATTCTAATCGTTTATTATATTTTTATGTATATTTTCTACAGAATTATTTAACTTTTCATAATTCTTGTTTTTAAACACAAATTATATTATATTATTATATGTTCAAAAATACTTTTCTAGATTTTGAAATGATTAATCATATTTATTTTTAACTAGCTTTTGCACGCGGCTCCGCACGCGTGAATGTCAGTTATCGCTGTAAAAAGTAGCTTATGTTAGTCGCTGAAAATGTAGCTTACCATTGGTGATAGAATTTTGAAATTGCTCTAAAGCAATAGCAGCAACCACGAATGGTTTAGGCGTAACAAACGTAAAGCTTAACAAACAAACCAACTCACTTTAACATTTAGAATATAAGACGCTTGGAAGTATGGCTCACATTGCATCACAATTTTTATGACTAGTCCCAAAAAACTGTTAATTAATTCTCTGTCGATAATAAAGTGTCTCAGATTCACAATACCTATTCGCACTTTAAAATAATTCTTGATTTTGTTATGATTTAAATATGAAAGTATGAATATTGTTAATCGATATACGACTAGTAATTGTGAAGGCCATTTTAGCCATGTTTTGTACCACGTTAGTTTATTTCCTCAATATTTCGTTTCTTGGAAATTTCTCAGACATTCTAAAAGTGCATTTTAAGGTTTTTATTGAACAAACTATAAATATGTTGTACTCGTAAACATTTTATCCTTATTATTATTTTGTATGACAGTTCCGTGTTCAATTTAACTACAAGGCTATGGTGTCCTATTTATCCTCAAAAAAAAACCATTTCATATTCGCAATGGTCAATGAAAAGCATAAAAAAACATTTCTAAGTGTTTAATTTTCATTTCGTTTTTTACATTCGTCTTAAACTAAAATGGTAACCTTTATATCACTACGTACAGGTACGCACATACAACATACATGACATGTTTACATTATAAATATACAAAATGATGCGTTTTTTGCTGTTGTCCCGGCCACTTCTTGGCGAGATTTATAAATATCTATTGAACGCTTGGCAGATGTACTTAACATTAAAGCTATTACTATACTAATGGCTGTAGTAAGAGCCTCCATAGCTCAAACTTGAGTGATCATAATTGTCATGACCGTGAGCGTGTCCGACGATGACAGGTACTTTCACAGGTACGGGGTAGGGCTTCTCAACTGCGACAGGAACATGCTTCTCAATGTGTACGGGGTAAGGCCTGTCAACAGGTACTTTGACTGGGTAAGCCACAGGCTTCTCAACTGCGTAAGGAACGTGCTTGTAGACGAGATAAGGTTGTGGGACAGGGACCTTCACGGGGACGGGCACGGGCTTATCAACTGGCACGGGGTAGGGCCTGTCGACTGGCACATGTACCGGGTATGGTACTGGTTTCTCAACAGGGTAAGCAACAGGAACGGGTTTCTCAACGGGGTAAGGAGCAGGTACGTGGACGGGGTAAGGCCTGTCAACGGGGACCTTCACTGGAACTCCGACATGTTTCACAACCGGGTAGGGCTGAGGAACGGGAACCTTAACTTCAACAGGGTATGGCACATGTTTCTCCACGGGGTATGGTGCGGGCACTGACACCTTCACGGGATAAGGTACGTGCTTCTCAACGGGGTAGGGCTGGGGAACATATACCTTAACGGGGTAAGGCCTGTCGACGGGAACGTGAACGGGGTAAGGTACCTTCTTTTCAACTGGGTAGGGAGCTGGTACATGTACAGGGACTTTGACGTACTCTTTCACGTGAACGGGCACGTGTTTGACGACCTCGTAAGGCTGGGGTACGGGCACCTTCACGGGGTATGGAACAGGCTTTTCTACGGGGTACGGGACTCGCTTCTCAACGGGATAAGCAACGGGAATACCCTTAACGATGGTGATGGTCTTGGTGACATCGTGATGTTCTCCGAGATTGAATCCATAGCCACCATTGCCGCTATAGCCGCCATAGCCGCTATAGCCGCCATAGCCGCCATAGCCGCCATAGCCGCCATCTTCAACTATGTTGTATCCATTGTATGCACCGCCGAGACCATGTCCGTTACCGATGTAGCCTACATCTAAGCCGTGGATGCCATAGCCGTAGCCGAGGTTCAAGAGTCCACGTTTGTCCAATTTTTTTTCTAGTGGCTCCGCTTTCTTATCTGTGGTCTTCTTCTCACTGGCAGCCGCGGCCGCTACCAGTAGGAAAACTAAACAGAGCTGAAACAAAAATACATATTGTTAATATTAATATTCGTTCTTTGACAAATATGATATACAAATATGTAACTTGCTAAACACGAAAAATAAGTAATAACCTTCAAATTTTAAAAATAATTTTTAGTTCAGCTAAAAAAATGCATGCAAAGCAAAACACTAAAACAGCATTCCATTCTGTTTCAATTCTATGCTTATATAATAAGTAGACTACAGCTGGATTTATTTGAATATTACCAATAAAGAATATGGCCGAGACAATTCAGATATTCTAACAAAAGCTTAAAATTTTAAATTCGGTATCATCTCAAACTTACATACTATAACGGTCTAGTATAATAACAAATTGAGAACGATTTTACAACTCAATATTTTGATCTCGTAATACGAAGGTTGAAGATTTACGGAAAATACTACGTTTTCAGCTGGAAATATTATAATTTTAGTAACATATTATTAGAAAAAAGTATGCAAGGTATGGATGGATCAAAAGAAAGTACTAACATAATTTCACACCAAATATCAGTTACAGCAAAGTTTTTGTAAGATAGATTCTACTTAAAAAGTAACTAATCTTAGTATCTGGGCTTTAAAAATTCTATACAATTCTATGAAAGGAACAACCAAGGGTCCACACGCAGAGGCAGGTTTATGTTGGTGCGCACTTGTTCTATATTCAATGATACATAATACTTATGTAACTATATGAAATATTGGTAATTGATCAATAAATAATGAATATTCACTAGATTATAGCAAATAGTTTATGTTTACGCAAGTTTCTTGTAACAGGGTGACGTGGAAATTACAATCATCAATAACTGCTATTGCAAAAATAAAGTCTTGTTGAACCTGGTTTGTGATTACGTAACTTACGAGTGTTTCTACTATTCTATAATTTCCTTTTTACGACTGATTTCTTTCTTTATACAAGGTAAAACTTGTTTAAATCTTTAACTGATATTTTGTAAAAAGGAATGCGAGTTTGTTTTACTACTACACAGATCATCGTGAAATTTTTGGTAAGAAGCTACTATATTTAGTAGATTTACAAAAAGATTGCGTTTAATTAGATCACCAGAAATCTTTCTGAGATTTCGGTAAGAAAACTTGCTTTCAAAGAATTTTAAAGAAATATTGTTACTCAAGATTTAGTTCGAACAAAGCTATGTCTACTAATAGCTGCTGAAACCATCTCTTATGACATCATAAGCATTTAACTAAAAGAAATTTACTACATACGAATATTATAAAATACAAATTTACGATCATTGATCATACATTACAATTTACAGATTACTGTTTTCAGGTTATTTTAGAACAAACTGTAATCTATGCAAATTATTATTATATGAGTATTATTACACAAGTAGCACTTTGAGCTTGATTAATATCAACATAATATTTTGAGAATCCAGATTTGCGAACAATATTTCTGAATCTTTGTACTATTCACCATATTTGGCACTACTTCATCCAGTATATGGTACTTCTATTCTAAAGTTTACTTCGAAATATTATTAAATGTTTTCTTAATAATCAAGTTTAAGTTAAAAAAGACAGTTCCCTACAGAATAGTTACAAGTTGAGTAATATCAAACCTGTATCTACGCAATATTCATTTGAATAATATAATGCTATGTTTAAACGTTCTTCTATAAGTGAGCTATAATCGGTGGTCACAAATTGGTAAGATAACTCTGTCGCAACGGTGGTAGCCTTAACTTCAGTTCTTTGTTTTAGTTTCCCATAGTCTTATCTTTCTCAAGAAACTTCGTGACAATTGTTTAAGGACTGATTTGAAGGATGGCCTTGCATTGTTATTTTCTAAATATTTTTGAGATATAGAAATTTTATGTAGCTTAAAAACTAGTATGTATAGCAGAATATGTGTTACAGTAACGTTTTCTATTGCCAGGTCTACAAAAACAAAATATATCATACAATACAATGTTTATAGTACTTTACAAATGGATCTCATACGTAACTGTCTGATTAAATCATTGCAATGCCTTATTTTCCACATTTACTTTACAGTATGCTGCTATTGCTGTATACAGCTGTATACTGTCATTTATGTTTTTAAACACATCCTTTTTCCATTTGCAGCTTTCAAACTCTTAAAATCAAAATATTAGACTTTTCGTGAGAAAATAGCAAATGAATTTAAAACACTACATCTCTATCGTATCAGGGAGAAAAATATTGTATCTGTTAATATTATTTTAAAAGTTTAAAATAGTTGTGACTTTACGTTGAAAACACTTAATAAATTCGAGTATACGACATACTCGTAGTCAAGAATATTGTAAGTAAACATTTCAATTCGCTTTGTTTGATAGTAACGATGCTAATCAGTAAGTAAAGAGAACGAGGTTAACATTGGCTTGCTTCGTGGCTCGGACTGGAGCATCGTGGGATAATATCACTTCTTATGGTGCTTACGAAACTTTTGAAGTGGGACGTCTATACTTAGCTTACTTCGTTTAATTTAGCGATACGTTAATTACAGGTTTTTCGAGTTTGCTACACGACTTAAATTGCAAAGAAAATATAGAGGCTTTGTAAACATACCTTTTAGGGATTGTACATTGCAGAAATTGCAACCTAATTAGAAAGGAGAGAGGGAGGGAGATCCCTCCCTCTCTCCAACCTCCCTTTAGTGAGTGATGCTCCTGTGTTTCCAATAATATTTTAATTAAAATACTAAGCATCAAATATTTGAAAATTGTGTTCATAAACTACAAATTAAATTAAATTTTATACATCATCATGTATTTAATATCATCAAAATTTATTGAATTAAAGCCAATTTTATGACCGATTGGGTATAGATAATCAAACAAAATAGCAACAAAATATTGAAAACAGTATAATGAACAATCAAATCATAATGCTGTTCCATGTTGATTAAATGAGACTAACCAAGCATATATAAGACAAAATTGATGCACTGGGTAAGTGTTTGAAATCTGTAAAATTCAAATTATGACGGTACAAAATACTTCATTATACTCGTAAGTATCGCAACTCTATAATTACTGTAGGTTAATTGATACACACGGTATAAAGTAAGTTGCATAGGCTTATTATACCAATGATGATGATCATGCCAAATTACACAGCAACAATATTATGCAATGTAATATCGTCAACATTGACCTGAGTTGCTCTGACCAAACAATCAAACACCTCTTGTAGTAAACTGACCGTAATGACAAGATGTTGCGTATGTAGTTTCGTTCTCACATTTTTTTTTTTTTTTTTTTTTTTTTTTAAAAAGACAACTCCCGCACTAGGAATAAATCCTGTGTCGCGGGGGACTTTACAAACATACATGAAACGGACACAAAGTACACCCAGACTCAGAACAACAATTTGTGGATCACACAAAGTGTTGTTCCATGTGGGGTTTGAACCCACAACACTCGGCGTAATAGGAAGCGGCGTGGCGACCGCTTAAACCACTACGCCATCCGTGCAGTCATTTCATCATTTCATCATTTATATGTATAGACATAAACATGTATGGGTTTAGTAATATTTTGCAAAATAGTCCAGTTCTTGCGGTTAGTTAGCTTTTAGACTATTTAAAAAATACAAATATGAGTCGTATTAAGACGGACTATTTTCATAACGTACCTTCGCGTAGTTTTTATAGTAAGGATATATTTTGAAGATTAATATAACTGTTTGATTCTCCTTAAGATTTACTTGTTTTTTAATCGGTATTCAATTATCATTATTCAAGTACAGTATATGAATGACATTCAAAAAATGAATATATAATTTTTATATAAGTATAATATTTTTTATAAAAAAAATAAGTATATTTCTTCTCTTTATGCGTTTAAAACTAAGGATTTTATAGTACCGGCTTGCAATAATAACTTCGATTCTATGCGGTAAAGTAAGTCAATTGAGGATATGACAAATTGATTGACTAGTACTAAAATAGTACTACTACTAGTAAAAAAAATGATTCATTTTTGCTGTGGGTTAATTATGTATCAATATGTTCTACATTGTTTTGTATTTTACTTATATCTATTACTGACAAATTTAATCTATTATTTAGAGCTAATGATACAAGTCCAATTGTAACGCCGCAAATAATTTCTTTTCTTAATCAACTAAAAGCTATTTGCGTTAACGTAAAAATAATGATTTTCTTTATCTGAGTTAAGAATTTATTCAGATAACATTGAATCTAGTTCAGTATCATGTTTTTTACCAGTAGATTTTGCAGTCAATTAACAGACTTAATTTTTATTAACTCCATTTCTAATTAAGAATAAACTTTAAATTTTTATGTTTTAAAATGTGAAGTAAATTCTCTTAAAAATCCGTATTTAATATTCTTTATATGAACTGTTATGGTTTTAAGTAAGTACTTTCAAGTACTTTCTATTTATAGCTTTGTAGTTTTATTTGCTAGTTTGTTTCTTTTTAAAAGTGAAATAAACTTTATGAATCGCAGTATGGTGCCCTTACGCAATGGAAAGAGGAGGCGTTTCTTATTAACGGTTTCCTGGACAGTCTTGCTAGACAAACTGGAATGAAACCCGTTCTTCTTGAACAATAACACATTGTGATGCAATAGGCTTACAAATAAATTATATCGAAGACTATAATCATTGTTTCGCTTCGGTTTCATTATCAAGTTTAAAATTTATTTATGCATTATTGGTAATCAGTCTTATTAGTTTATATATTTTTATTTCCATTCGATAATATTAAGTTAAGCATAGATTTGACTTCAAAAAAGTGTGTCACATCCCGTATTTCACAAATTTGATTTTAGGACCTGCTTCGCCATTGAATAAGCTCACAAATAGAGCAAATAAAATGAAATATAAACGCTATTTCGAAAATCTCAATGGAATAACAGGCCCTAGATCACTTCACAAACACGGGACGCACTTTTTCACTTTTTTGAAGTCACCCCTTGCACTGCACTGCACTTTACACACTCACCGATGTTTTCATAATGCCTCTTCAATGGTAGTTGGTGTCGGGAATCGAACTGGATACTGTGTTCAGTGTGCTGTGAGTTTTTATAGGTTGTTATTTGGCGATACTTTCGCCATCGCCCCTCTAGCGGGAATAGGCTGTTCTACGGTGAGTCCTTCGTATTCGGCTAGCTGTCCGACAGAAGACAGACGCGCCGCGCGTTCGAATTTCAGGTTTAAAAACACGTTGTTTAATTTTGATATAGTTTTTTTCTTGAGACAATTGTATCAAATTTAAACAACAGCTTTTTATTTAATTTGAGTATTGAGTTTTAAAATTTAAGTATTTTAGTAATATATTGCTATATCGTATTTCGTAGTAAATATTCGTGTTTTCGGTTGTTTTATAATAATAGTAGCTGGTGTCCTGTACAACGATTACAGCTTCGTATGTAATTGTTGTTAAAAGGTGTTTGTAATAGTTGAGATCATAAATAACGATTAATCAATTGTTGTATTTTTTTTTACGATTTGTCGGTTGTGAATAAACTGAATTTGACTTATTTATTATTGTGATTAACAGACGTTTGAGTTTTATGGCGCCCACATAAAACAAAACAATGAGCTAGATAACATTGATTATATAATTTACGAGAGGGTATTTACTTTTCCGGTTTATACTTTAAAATATGAATGAAAGATTTCCTAAAATTGACTATTTATAGCTCTTTTCATTTTTACATTTAAAATACATACAAATTGACAATAAATGCAATAGATATTTATAGTGTTAAATTTTCCTGTAACAGTACAATAAAAATAAAAATAAAATAATTGGTAAATAAATGATAAAATAGAAAATTTTATGTTCATGAACTTGTGTTTTATGACCAAATCTACAGCAAAAAAATATTATAGTATAGATATACATATTCCATCTTTGTGTAGCTTTAACCGACACAAATCACACTCAGACTCAAACCATTAAAACACAAATAGTTACTCTTTATGGGAATTTAATTTACAAGCCTCCTCGCTGTTGCAGTTGGCTGAGTGACAACCTATAGCATCCATTAAATACAAAGAGTACCTGATCTTCTCTCCTCGTACCAAGCGATACATTCCGCATAAAAATAACTACACCTAATATTTTATTTAAAAAATAGAATTCTTAAGTGAAATTATACCAAATAAATTAAATTAGATCCCCTGTTGGCAGTCAATAAATCGACCTTAAACTCTTAAGTTTTGAATGTTGTATTTTATTTCATAGACCTGTATAACTTGATTTATCATATTATTTAATTCCATACATGATATTTCAAAATATATGCTGGAAACATACTAATATAATAGCATTCTGTTATAATTTTCACATATTTATAATTTGAATAGAAATATATATAATATTTGAGCAGTAAAACTCGTCCATAGTTAAAATGTTCAAAACAAATATCAAAATGAGAGATAATACATAGTTCATTTGTTCAAAACGACATAGAATAGAATTGTAAATGCATTGGTTACTCCTTCAAGTTCCTTGAACCCCATGTCGTGGGTCACGGGATCATTACATACCACTTATTCTGAGTCTAATATACACAGTATTAATAAACAATACGTTTGCAAAGTGTTTCCCAATACATCCCTGTAAACTATCCCTGTGTTCACTAATGATTTAATTTTAATTTCTACATGAAAATGATTAGAATTTTAAGAAACAATTTTTTTTTAATGAATTGTTTTGTTTTCTATTTCAGTATTGTATGCATATTATAAAATTTATTATAATATTTACTTTATGAAATTCTAGCTGTCCTATCTATCTAAAGGTATATGTATCTATGTCCCGATAAACGGTAATAGAACCTGAAATCCCTTTACCAAAAACGGGTTATGCCCAATGTGAGTCGTTCTCTTTTGAATATACACGTATGCCTTATTTACTTTTTTATTGCCTGGCCGACTGGCCTGTTGGTCTAGTGGTTAGTAACGCTGACTGCTAAGACAGAGGTGGTGGGTTCGATAGCAACTTGGGACAAACAATTGTGTTATGTAGTTGCTCTGGCAACTGATGGTGCTCATGACACAATTACAATAAATTAAATTACACCCAGACATCTGTATCTGGGTGTCATTTATATATAATATGTATGTATGAGTATTTAAAAATATATAAGTATGTTTATCAGCGGTCTAGTTACCACAGCACAGGTTCTGTTTAGTTTGGTATAGGACGGCCGGATGTTCGATGTGTAAAGTTTTTATTATTATTTTTCAAAGAGTTAAACAAATGTTTATTTATTACACATTAACATTTCACGATGTTTTTGATATCGTGTCCAATGATGCCATTGACCTTAACAAAGCCTGTTTTCAGACATCATGCTGCTACTGAGAACTTTCTTATAGAAAATCTTAACTACGAGTATTTGCCCATCCTGACATTGAACTATAGACTTCAAGGTCGAACGCAAACATTCGTTCAAACCTACAACCCAGGACCACCGTAGCAGCCAAATTTTAATTAGATAAATTTTACATAATATTATTGATAGCGATGACCTCTAAATCGATGAAATTCGGAATGTTCTAGATTAATTAAAACAGGCCTGTCCTGTTTTTTACCTAAAACGAGAATAATACATTCCTACTATTCTTATTAACGGCTTCAACTTAGCTAGTATGGTATGTCTAAAAATACTATTTCGCACGTAAAATTGTTTATATTTTCATCACCATGAAGTTGGCTGTTTGAAAACGCCCAAGGTTAAGTTCAATGTTTACACGTAAAAAAAGAGTTTTAAATGATAAAATATTGTATTGACGACTGGATGGCGTAGTGGTTTGTGTAACGAACTGCTATTCCAAAGGTCGCGGGTTCGATTCCCGCTCAAGTCAAACATTTGTGTGCATGATCATTTGATGTTTGATTTCGTCTGGGTGTTTTTATATATAATATGTATGTATTTACAAAAAAAAAGAGTATATATGTATTTATATCAGTTGTCTAGTACCCATAGTACAAGCTCTGCTTAGTTTGGGACTAGATGGCATTGTGTGTATGTGGTAGAATATATTATGTTATATTATTATTATTATTATTGTGTTAGGCAAAAGGCTGTAAAAAATAAATAAATGGTGGCAAACAGAATAAACCTATAAATAGTACAGACAGCTCGCTCATTTGAGACATTTAAATAAATAGCGAATATTTACAAAAGACTTGCCTGATAATCATGGATCTCTCATCGTCTATTCGCAAGAATTTCTTGTACGTTTGTTCTCTAAGATAAAGGGAATATCAATTTACTTAGATATATACATATGTTTTATTGTTGCACTCAACTCCATATTCCGTACGACATCTGAGATGTCTGGCAGCGTGTTTGTCCCGCAATGCAACGCTTTGCTACGTTTATTATTACAACACCTTACTAAAATGTTGTCAACTTATTAAAAAAAAAGTGTTTTTTAGAAAAAAACTAATAGTATATGTTAAGATGGTTTAATGGCATTTTTGTCCTAATGTTTCGATTAAAATTCACATATAAATGACTTCATTAAAGTGTGAGTTTTTTTTAAGTGATCGGGATTATCCTATTTTGGTGTTCCACATACATATGACATTTGCAAATCAAAATAGCAATGCTTGTTCATAACTAAATGTTATTTAATCCACCACCACCAACAGCCTATAAATGTTATTTAATCAAAATGATTTAATAGAAATATTAGTCCCTTTAAAAAACGTAACAGATCATACTCGCTAAAACACCCCTTTTCTAAGTAAGAATCATTTGAATTTGACCTGAGTTAAACAAATTATTATTCATTTGATTTTATTGTTATAACTTTAATTGTTTTAAGTTTAAACATTCACGAAATATAATTAAAATTTGCTTACAATGGATCAAACAGTCGCAAAATATGGACACAGAAAAAAACAGTCAATTCGAGAACCTCGTTACTGTAATTATAAAACAATATCAACATCAGTACTAATTATTTTTGAATACAAAATTTTCTGGTCAAAAAAACATCATGAACGCTATATATTATTAAATGTGTATACCTATAGATCAATAATAACAATAAGGCCCGTGTGTTAGATTTTGCTACCCCTTTAAAGGAAAAGGGACACCAAAAAAGGGATCAAAGATACCTCACACATCTCACACACAGCGGTCTGATCCTAAAGTAGGCAGAGCCTGTACTATAGTAACCACACTTCATATAACACACTCATAGATTTTTTAATATTTACATATTATAAATAAATTAGACCCAGACACAGAACGAATGACCGTGTGGTCATCGCACAATATTTTTCCTTAGTGGGCATCGAACCCACGACCTCCGGCTTAGTAGTAAGGGTCACTAACCATAAGACCAATAGACCCGTCAGAAGAAATAGATTGTTTATCTCAAAAGTTTTTTTCCATTATTAAGTATAAATATTAAATTAATTTATTAATGTAAAGCTGTAATATTATTATATGATACCACAAATAAAAACTGTTAGAAACAAGATCTCAATAAATGATCACGAAAAACGTTTATTCCGTTTACCTAATAAGCGAATTTGACAAATATCAAGGTCTCGTTAAAAAAGTAAAGTTGATGTGTTATTAATCCATATTTTATAACCTAATCTATTTGTGAATGTTATGTTCGTTCTTTCTGTCTGTTGTTGAATGGTGGTATAGGAATAATTTATACAGATTTGTAGATTTAAGTTCGAATGGAACATACAGGTAGCCATTTCTAGCCCCTGTAATAGTCAGAGGGTACTAGTTACTATGAAATAAATTGCAAAAGTAATGGTGCTAACTTCTAGCTTCTCTTGGAGCATAAATAATAATATTTCGGACATCTTACACACCACGCCATCTAGTTTCAAACTAAGCAGAGCTTGTACTGTGAAAGACTGATAGAATATTTATATACTTTTTTTAAATAGCACTACGCTTTAGGGTTCTATTGTTACCCTGGTGTACCAGTACAGATTGAATCATCTTCTGTAGACTATTTTTT